GGGCACGAGTATCGGAGAAGGCTGCATCGATGGCCCGCGAAGGGCGCAGTGCACAAGCCTGTCTCAAGCAGGGCACCAACAGAGCACAAGGAGGGAGTCCCAAATGGGAATTTGTAAGGAAAGAAGAGCAGAAGGAGCCAAGGGTGATAACTGCTCACCAAAGCGCAGCACCAGCTACATCATCGTCAATAAGCCGGTCAACACACTTTACTGCATGGGACTGCTTCCTGTCCATAGTGGGCATAGGCTGAATAACCCGATGGACACTCTGCTCAACCTCCCATCACACACAGTCGGGAGAAATTGTGGTGGAGTCAGGGTATCTTTGCTCCTTAGCCTACTTTTAAGAGATTGCCTACTCTGTATATTAGCTTGCCTACATTTGTTAATCTGTCCCTTAACCCTAATTTCTGCTGGCATTAATCAGATGATTTAATTCCCTCACTTATGATACCATTTATGTAGGATATCCCTGCATTCTCACCAAGGCTGCCCAGGGTGGTGTATTCAGTTGTTCACTTAACCTACAGTTACAAAGCATGTTCCTCTTTACAAACGTTTTTAACGCTTCAACCTTTACACATGCCATGTTTTCTTATGTCTCTAATCATTTCAGAGCAGCATCTTATTCCTCAGACATTCTACGATCTATGACTTCCAACACATTATTTATACTCGTGTAATAATGTCTACGAAAGCTTATCTGTTAAACATGCACTACCAAAAATAAAGAATGTAAAAAAAGAAATCAAGCAAATTAGATCACAATCCAGGACCAGGCACAGTGTCACGTATTCATCCGCACATAAAAATGTGGTTAATGGCATTTACTGTCCTGACAGGAAAAGTTGTGCCGAGCAGCAATCATGCACATGGAAACCTGGTAATTACTTTTAGGGTCAAAGGCCGATCATGGCCAATCAAATCCACAGGAGGGTTTAGCTGAGCAGCAATCATGCACACCTGGTAATTGCCTTTGGGGTCAAAGGCTGGTTACAGCCAATCAGATCCACTTGCTCAGTGCCCTGTTGTGGTTTCATGCCTATGGTTATCTGAGAGTGCGTTCCTGATCTTGATTTTCTGGTATTTGACTTTGGCTTTGTTTTGACTTTCCTGATATCTGGTATCTGGTATCCTTGACTTTTGGCTTTTCCTCATCTTTGTGTCTAATTCTGTGTCCCTGACCTCGGCAAGTATTTTGACTATTCTTGGAGACGTTAAATCCGACCATTCTAAAGTTCGGTTATACGTTATCCTTAGTCCTAGGTGTGACACAGTACTGCGTGCTGGATCAATTTGTAATCCTGACACACAGCCAGGGCATACATTACAAACAAGGATAATAAATATATACATTGTTTAATTTCTCAATTTCTCTGCAAAGGACTGAGCTTATGGCAATGATTGACAGTTGGAGTTAAGATGGAGGCGCCCATTTGCAGGCTAAACATCTGTGGAGTTCTATATGTATTTTCGCACCTCACAAATACATATTTGATAGATGTAGGGGATAATTAAACTTAATATTAAAAACCCTGGGATGTGACAGTTTCCCTTTAAAAGCTTGTCAGATTGCTAAGTGTAAGTGAATATTTAAAGAATAAAAAGGTCTATGGATATTTGCGGTCAGTAATTTTAGATGAAATTCGCTATGTTGCAAACAGTTTTTTCATACTAAGATCTGACCTGGAAGCTCACCATATTTAACCGTCCAGATGGGCCTTCTTAAACCTGAAAAACTGCTGTTCGGTTTTCCTGTTATACAACAGAACTAATCTCATATAAGATGTTTGTGTCGTTATTATCTATCTTCAGCAACAGAATGGATGAGATCTCAAGGAGAAATATAGCTTTTCATTTCATTTAATACCTTATCCTGGCAGATTTGCACTATTATTACGATTTAAGTAATCCAGATTTTTTTTTTTAAGTCTCTTTCCGTAGAACCCTACGGGATTTCTTCATACTGGGCAATTTAATTCAAAATGATCCTGTAATATAATAATGTATCCATTAATGGACATGCAAAACAACAAACGAACAAAAAACTTTGACATGTGAAAGCTGTGTAGTTATGTCAAGACGTTGTTCAGCTTGCTGTGGGGACCTCAATAAATCTGGTGTCTTTTTTTTCACATATTGATGTGCGCTGGACAGTTTTCATTTTTGCATTCTACATTTTACCTTAACTGTAAAGAACTCTTAGATACACATGTACTAAATCTTTAGGCAATGAGTGTTGCTTAAGGTTGCGTCATTGAAATTCACGCCAAAGTCTCCTGGGAAACTGAATTTTACTCTCCCTGTTGTAAACAAAGAGATTGATTTCAGCCCTCCTTATTATTTAACCACAGAGTGCAAGCAAGTAAAAGTATTACCTCTTTGATATCCCCTGCAGTTCTTGTACTTACCTCCCTCTCCGTCAAAACGGAAATCTTCAGAGCTACTCATTAGAACATCCATTTATTTGACTGAGCTCATAAATGGAGAATTGTAGTTGCTTCTTGCAACAATGTTTCATTGACTGAAATCACTTTTAAAGCACAACTTGTTTAATGTGTTCTCATGGATTTGGGTCATGTGAACCAATACCTGGTTTTAATCTTTGATCAACATATTTTTTTTTAATAAAAGTAAGAAGGTTCAGGATTCCCGCAGTCCCTTATAACAAGGTTTGATTTATACATTGTAGGGTTTATTCACTGACTGTGAAATGAAGTAAATCGAAAATTCAGCTATAAATATTTAGACCAAAACAGCCAAGCTCTGATTATAACAGGGTAAGAGACTTTATCAAAATAACCTATTTTTGCCTAATTTTTCCAGATCAGTTTTCAATTTGCTACAATTTAGTGTTTAGTAAATAAACCCATCGGAGTGTTTTTTTTTCTTGTTCTGCAGATTATCGGATTTGTTGCTTCCGATGGCATCATTGTGATAAGGTATTATTCATGAGAGCGCGTCGTTCTTTCAGGCAGATTATCATAATGTATATTATTACAGCGTGGGGCACAGCCATGTAACCACACACTTTTATAGAATGGCTTTTATCGAATGAACATTACTGTAGATGCTATGACTGTAACTCCTATCAGCCTGGCTGGGAATAATGGATCACTAAGTAAACCCAAACTTGAACGCTACATAAATCTAGCTCCATGTACCCCCTAATTATAGTCTGAACCCCAAACTATGTGAGAACATTACAGGCTACTGGTGGCTAATTTGTGCATGGGAGGTGTCCAACAAACTCTCTATTACCTTGAAAAATTTAGGGTAACACAATAGCTAAGATAGAGAATTGTATAATTTTCTCTGTTCTTTTATACTTATATCTAGTCATTTGTTAACTCACAGCAACCGACTGTTTAGCCAAGAGACCCCTTAAGGCATTATACTCTTCTGGGCCCTGAATCCATATATGTGCTGCGTGTGTAACAAAGCCCCTTCCTGGATTGGTGTAAAAGAAAATGAAGGGCAAGACACAATTTTCAGCTCTCTTTGGACCAAAGTAAAGATGATGGATAAAGCAATTCTATGAGAACGAGGGAACTTTAAGGCAGCTGTAACCAGATTTTTAATCACAACCAAATGAGAGATTTTTCATTGGTTTCAACATATATAATTCATAACGCTTTTATTATGGCTGGAGGCAGAACGGAAAAGTTTGATTTTCAAAACGGCATTTGAAGTGTAAAAAAATAACCTGCATGCAAATCCGATACGTCTTGTCAGAATGAAGGAATACATCGGTGGGGCCTGGAAGAGGAAAAAAAAATCCCAAAACTAATTGTGGTAGGATAAATAGAGCACCTTTCTGCTATCATTCTTTAAAAGCACTTGGCTGGAACGATTGAAACAGGCAGTTACACGCAAAATGGATATTCTGTCGTGTTTTATACAATAATTTGTTACTTGAAATGGACAAAAAACTAACACAAATACACATACCAGATTGAAAACAAACTGTTCTTAAGAAGTCTGTGAGGAGAATTAAAAATGGGTGCACCGCGCAAACATTTTGTTACCTTCAAAAATATATTTACATTATTATAACCAAAAGCCTTCATCATTTTAAGATCTCTTCCTATATTCATAGAGGGTTTTATTGGGAACAAATTGCTCTAGCATGATCAAAGAGGCCCTGCCCTCCTCTAAACAGAGGAATGTTGAGAGTTAGACCACTCATATTCTTAAATCTCAGGTTTTGATTGGCTACTGATATTACACACTCTATTTTTTTTTAGCTAGTAGTATTCATATTAAGGATTATTCACTAAAGCGTAACAGTTTAGGCCCAAAAAAAAAAAATTAACAAAAATTTCAAATTACTGATGGCACACATGGGCGGAAGGCTGAAAACCCCTCTTTAGGGCAGTCACAACTCCAGCAGTTTTTTCTTCTCTCTGTTACAGACCTGCCAATCTTTTTAGATCTGTTTTGGAATTATTATGTTTAATTTATTCATAAAAAAAAACAGGAGGCAGGTTCGCTTAAAATACAAGAGACATGACGGGAAATATTCAGAAACGTGGAAAGTATAGATCAGTGAAATATTACTCCATAGTGATTGGTGAAAGAGCTGTAGCTAGACATATTTTATAAAAAGGTGACAGTCTCACTTTAAATCACCAGAACTAAGTCCAGGAAAACATTTTTATATCACTGTACCTCCCAAAATAGTTAAATGTTGGCTAATTGTAGTATTTTAATTTATGTTCTATTGAGAACAAAGCCTGCTGACTACTTATACAATAGAAATGCTATAAACAGCCTTATCAGGAACAAGATTGACTAAATACGCATAATTTACCTGCCAAAATATCATCTGGTCGTCAGGGAAACTTGACATGTAATCATTCCTTTCTGATTTCTTTTTACCTTCTTTTTTTATTATTTATAAAATAGAACAATTGTTCTGCGTGAAAACAGTAATAAGATGTCAGGTCGGCAATGACGTGAGTTTTTCCAAACTCAGATGCCTAACCAGAGTTTACAGCATTTGCTCCCACGATACTCAGGAATATTTTTTTCAGGCCAACAATTGGTGGAGAACTTTTGGTAAGTAGTTTAATGGAACACTCCAACATTTGAAATAAACACATTTGGTGATAATGCTGGTCCATTGTTAATTTAGATTTTAGATTCCCTCTCCATTCCTCAAAAAAAAAAAAGTTATTTACCTGTAACCCAGGAGCAAAACCTTCTCGACCCCATTTCATGAGATCATCACTAGTGAGTATTTCTGGGGTCTGTCCAATCCTGCCAAGGGTTTGCCACTCTCTGCCAGTAGAAATGGATTCAGTGCTTCTCTGTGAGGAGGCATCACTTTTGCTTTGAACAATTGCTCAAGGCGAGCATGGAAGAATACTCTCCCAGCTTCCTCATTGACAGCAGGAAAGGTGCAATGTAGGTCAATTATAAAACCAAAAATGAGAAAAGTCAATTTCTTTTGAAATCTATCCATCTATAAAATAAGAGAAAATGGGCATCTGTTTGCTAGATACAATAAAAAAAAATTAGTATTTTTTTTTTTTACTGGCTTACATAATATGCAAGGGACCAAATCAACATAGTAAACACTATACAGCCCACGTATACACTGTTCCTCTAAGCCAGGGGTAGGCAACCTTTGGCACTCCAGATGTTGTGGGCCACATCTCTCTTGGTACATTTCCAGCATTATGGCTGAACTTCATGGGATATGGAGTTCACAACATCAGGCGTGACAAAGGTTGCCTATCCCTGCTCTAGGTTCTAGGCTGATATTGCTTCCAGTCGTAGTAGTTAGTAGCAGTAGTAGTATATGACATTTTCCTGCTATCCTAACTTTTAGGGCAGATTTATATGAGTGTACCTAAATGACAATCATGATTAACCCCTTAAGGACACAACTTCTGGAATTAAAAGGGAATAATGATGGAATATCCTTAAGGGGCTAAGTCAGGTAAAGGTGGATGAAAAATGTTGAATGTATATAATGGAGGCTCTACTTTGTAATTGTACTACAGAATGAAGAGAAATTTTATGCCAGCTGGCTTCTTGAACTTTTATCTTTATACCTAATGTGAGTGCCCGTTTAGACCTTAAATTCTTTAAAACAAAGCAAACTTTTAAAAAGACGAGCAGTTGCTATGGAAACCATCAACAAGAACATTCCATTAGTTTTGAATTAAATCTACAACTTATGTTTGATGAAATGCACCAGTGTAAAGTGTGTTGTACAATTTATTATTATTATATCTGACATTTCTCCTGATTGAAATATTATTTTTAAGCTGCAAGTTAGCTTGAGTTTTCAAATAAACAAGATTCTAAAACATTTCCGTAGTGTTTTTTTAAATAAACAAGTACGTGAAGGCCTTTAAATTGCATTTGAGGAGCAGCATTTAAAATCCCCATGAAACAGGACAGAAGCCAAGAAAATATTTTTTTTTTTTAAAACCAGTGTCTGTAAAATAAAGTCGTGTTTTGTGAATCCGTTTATTGAAATCCAAGCATCAATCCTCAGACTGGGAGCTGACCAAGGTGCTGAAATTGATCTATTATGTCTAATGGGAACATTCAAGACATTTCCCTGCTGTAGGGCTTCTACTCTTGTGGTCTAAAGCTCCGCTCATCTACTTAACAATCAGCTCTATTAAGCTGATTTATAATTCTACAGTAAATTAAACTTCCCTCTGCCTGTTTATTTTTCTGCTGTGGAATTAATGAAACATCTGACTTTCCCGCAGCCCCCTCTCCTTATACCCCACCAGTCACACACACAAACTCTCACTTTCTTCACCAGGATGCAGATACAGATTGGACAGAGAAACAGTTTTTTTGATAGACAAACATGTTGCAGCCATAAGAATTCCGATGATGAATGAGATTAAACTAAGTTGGGGTTCTACGGTACACAGTTGGAAAGCAGAAGGGCAGCCAGTAGGTGACCTCCGAATACAGAGATTTAGATGGCAACTCATTCACTGCCAATAGGCTTAAACCAGTTATAGAACAAGAGAATTGGATATTATAGACGCCAGTTGCTTTGAGGATGTACACAAAGTCATTATAAGAGTATATATAATATGTAGATTACAACAAGCTCTATATTCTGTGCAGGTGTCACTGGATAAGTGAATAGTGGATGGCATCTGACATTTTTGCAGGAAAGTAGATTTGTCAGTGCTGGCAGGAGACCATGAGACTAGCAGCGCTGCCAAGTGAAATGATAGTGGTAGGTGTTCTTGATGTTGGCAGATGACCTTGATATTGGTAGGTGGCTGTTATTACTGCCAAGTTAGTTTAACAGTCAGTGTTGGCAAGAGACCATGAGACTGTCATGTGACCATGAAACTAGCAGGTAACGTCAATGTCCCCAAAATATTTTGTTTTAATCCCCCATTCAATATGGGAATGGAGAACTGACCCATCAGTCAGCTGCATTTATTATTAACCCTCAATATCCCACTACATAGAAAAAACAGTTTCTATACATTTCCCCATAAATAAATACCACAATGGAACCTGTACTGTAAACCCAGTTCTGCGCCTGTTTATGACACATACCGCCTAGTTGGATTTTTTTTAGCATTGCGTTCCCAGAAAAACACATGTAGCGGGGCAGGGCCTGGCTGCCAAACTGAACGGTCACAAGCAGAGTGAGTTAACCCATAATCAAACCTTTTTAAGATAAAGAATTAAAATCCGGGAGCTGGAAACAGCCCACGACACGCTCTGGCTCAATCCAGAGCTCCACGGACGCATTTCAAGCAGAGTAAGCCCACAACGATATTGCGGCCTACCTGGGGGTGAAAGTGCGAGAGAGACGGCCGCTCTCCCTGCTGGAACAAGCAGACGCAGCTCGGTGACCTGCTTCCCGCCCTGCCCGTGGGGGTTATCCCGGCCTCATCACTCCAACCATGGAGGTACCTGTGGCCCCGCAACAACGCCAGCTACAACTCAAACCTCTCCACCTCAAACCACCCAAGATGGCGGACGCCAGGCCTCTCACATTACCACGAGGCTCCACAGAATCGACAATCACGAAACTAGACATGATATTAGAGGAATTCTGGAGAAAGCTCGAGGAGAGGCAGCGGAGAACAAACTCGCAACGCCGATCACCTCCGGCAGCCCAGCGGCCTGTGCAGACCACACAGAGGCGAAACGGCTTCGCATCCAGGAGGAGAACACGACCCGAACGGTCAGCTGCAGGGGGTAAGTTGGCTCACAGAGCCCCCCCCACAGAGACCCCTTTCCAAAAGTGGATTTAAGCAGCACCGCCGGGAGGCGCATAGCCCAAGCTCCTGCGTTAAATGGAGCTTCCCAAACCCACCAAGAGTCCGCCTTCATGCCGCATGGAATGTGAGCCGACGTCAGAGGGGGAAAGTGGAGACAAGACACAGAGTCCAAAGGGGTCCCGTCCATCTCATATACCCCAACTCTGGCATGGAAAAGGACTGCAGGCAGTGGCCCACCAGAGGCATTGGCTGAAGCTATGACTCAGCATACCTGCCGACCCCAAACAGACACCAGAACAAACGGACCTGCCGACTACCCTTAATGCATCACCGCACTGACTCGAGTTAGACCCACTAAAGGGGGCACTACTTGCCTAAGTTATAAACCTTTTTTCTCCTTTTTTTTTGGTTCCCCCTGGGGATTTATTACGCACAGTCCACCCCGCTGACCATCGGGGCTGGCTGACCACAGCCTCAGACTCACCGCCTAAAATGTGACCCTATCTGATGTAGCATTAATCTCACCGATGAAGTAGTACTCTGGGTGAAGGAGTATACACGTAGCCAGGCCGACTAACGTCTTATTAATACCCATTATGGCAAGTTATACCGCCATGTTGGGATAAAACCTAGAATACCTGTAACCCATAAGTCGCCTCATTGAGGTGGAGAGCACACCACACTATGCAGGGGCAACACAGGGGATAATCTGACTAGCAGCACTACACAGGCTCACTTTAACGGCGCTCACTGGAACACAGCAGCCATATATACTCACCTCACTTACAAACCAGCAGACCACTCAGATAATGGTGTTATAGCTCAGATCACACCACAGAAGAGCCACACACGTAGCTATACATAATAGCCTGAACTGTAATAATCCTGAACAATGTTGTTTTCCTGTAACACAAGCATGTTTTTAAAAAGTTGTATTTTTCATTCTGATGACCTACTCGTAATGCTAAGCTTGAATACATATATTAAAAATGTGCAAGGAACGCATGCCACTACCTAACCTGTATACATATGTTGATTATACGCTGTTGTGGCGTTGTGACACAGTTTTGTACCTACCTGCACAATAAAAATTATGTAGCTACAATATATTAAACACCTTGTGAACCTTGCAGACATCACGCCTTTGTACAAAAAAAAAAAAAGTTAATGCTTTTACTTATAGTTTTATAAAAAAAAAAGAATATCAGACATTTTTTGTCCTAAGGCTAAAACCTCTTTATTGTCAAACCAGCAACATTATATAAGCCATTAGCAGAGACATTATAAGCTGTTAGATCGGAGAGATTTCTTGCTCCCAATCTCACAATTCAGGGGAGAAAAATAATCTGAATTTCAAACCAGAGGTTTATATGACTCATTATGTTTTATACATCCTTATGTTTAAGTGCTTGTGAAATAGCTGAAGGCAGAGTGATGCAAAAGAACCCTTAGCGTATTGCGAGGTCCCATCAGATCCCGAGGTGATAATAATTGTTGGTTTAAATGGCACAATTTAGTTGTTTTTTTTCTGAGACACATGAGAAATATTGAATGTTTTCTCAAAGCACAGTCATTTTCCTTAATTAGACGCTAAAACCATCCCTTTCCTCAAAGTTCCTGGAATTTTAACGTTTGATCTGCCAAAGAAATGAACGAAAGCACAATGGGACAGTTGGATTACACATAATCAATAGAGCAGGATGAAAGAAGTTAAACATTTTCAATATGTGTATCATAACTCATGTATCAATGGACCGCTAGAGTGATCATGGTTTGCAATATTTTCTTTACAGTGTAAAACAGTCTCACGACTTCTCCCAAGTTTTTCTCCACGGATAAGGCGTATTAGTTCTGTTTGTTAGGGGGAGATTTTGTTAGACAGTTCAGAGTACATTTAGGAATCTAAAACCACTTTAACCTCCTGTTAGCAAAGCTAAGCTTTATAGAGAGTCAGTACCCAACTGGTGAGCAAATGTCAGCTTTTGGGCCACTTAGCACACACTACGTCCCTAATCGTGCTGCTATGTTTATCTTCTCAATCCTAGAGTGACAGGGTTCTTCTTTAAAGTGTAAATAGTCACAAATTTCATATTTCTGGCAAAAAAAAAAAAAGTGAAATAAAAACATTGCTGACTTAGAGAACTGTTCCAGTTTATGTCCTGGTATGGTCCCACATTTTGGGATTTCAATATGCAGGAAGGGGTCTGGACACAAGGACCATGTATGGGGCCCTTCAGAAGTGCTTCGTGCATAGTCTGCCTTGAGGGGGCCTGCTGTCAGTCAACCTGTCAGACACCCTATTTACAGGTAGATCCCTCCCATTGACAAGTGAGCCTGCCCCCTGTTGGACCTCCGCAAGACTCTGAGCCCGGGGGAGCTGCATCTACTGCACCACTGATAGTCCAGCCCCTGATAGCACCCATGCTTTCTGTGTGGGAGAATATTAATTGGGATGGGTGGGCAGTCCTGAGGGGTGCACACCTTGAAAATGGCTGGGCCTCATCTAGTGATGCACTGGCTCTGTGCTGCCCATGGACAGGTCCCCAGCATGGGCATCCACAGAGGGGGCGGGGGGCAAGGGCCATATCTGGCCTCCATGACTCATGAACCTGTCCCATATCTAGCCACCATGCCTCATGAACCTGTCCCATATCTGGCCGCCATGCCTCATGAACCTGTCCCATATCTAGCCCCCATGCCTCATGAACCTGTCCCATATCTAGCCCCCATGCCTCATGAACCTGTCCCATATCTGGCTGCCATGCCTCATGAACCTGTCCCATATCTGGCCCCCATGCCTCATGAACCTGTCCCATTTCTAGCCCCCATGCCTCATGAACCTGTCCTATATCTGGCCGCCATGCCTTATGAACCTGTCCCATATCTAGCCCCCATGCCTCATGAACCTGTCCCATATTTAGCCCCCATGCCTCATGAACCTGTCCTATATCTGGCCCCCATGCCTCATGAACCTGTCCCATATCTGGCACCCATGCCTCATGAACCTGTCCCATATCTGGCACCCATGCCTCACGAACCTGTCCCATATCTGGCCCCCATGCCTCATGAACCTGCCCCATATCTAGCCCCCATGCCTCATGAACCTGTCCCATATCTGACCCCCATGCCTCATGAACTTGTCCTATATCTAGCCCCCATGCCTCATGAACCTGTGCCATATCTAGCCCCCATGCCTCATGAACCTGTCCCATATCTGACCCCCATGCCTCATGAACCTGTCCCATATCTGGCCCCCATGCCTCATGAACCTGTCCCATATCTAGCCCCCATGCCTCATGCCTGAACCTGTCCCATATCTGGCCCCCATGCCTCATGAACCTGTCCCATATCTAGCCCCCATGCCTCATGAACCTGTCCCATATCTCCCATGCCTCATGAACCTGTCCCCCCCATGCCTCATGAACCTGTCCATATCCCCCCATGCCTCATGAACCTGTCCTATCTATGCATATCTGGCACCCATGCCTCATGAACCTCCCATATCTATGCCTCATGAACCTGCCCCATATCTATGCCTCATGAACCTGTCCCCATGCCTCATGAACATATCTGGCCCCCATGCCTCATGAACCTGTCCCATATCTACCCCCATGCCTCATGAACCTGTCCATCTGGCCGCCATGCCATGAACCTGTCCCATATCTAGCCCCCATGCCTCATGAACCTGTCCCATATCTAGCCCCCATGCCTCATGAACCTGTCCCATATCTGGCCCCCATGCCTCATGAACCTGTCCCATATCTGGCCCCCATGCCTCATGAACCTGTCCCATATCTAGCCCCCATGCCTCATGAACCTGTCCCATATCTGGCACCCATGCCTCACGAACCTGTCCCATATCTGGCCCCCATGCCTCATGAACCTGCCCCATATCTAGCCCCCATGCCTCATGAACCTGTCCCATATCTGACCCCCATGCCTCATGAACCTGTCCTATATCTAGCCTCCATGCCTCATGAACCTGTGCCATATCTAGCCCCCATGCCTCATGAACCTGTCCCATATCTGGCCCCCATGCCTCATCTATACAGGGGTACACATTCCTTGTGTTTCGGAATAATGAGGGTATTTCCTTTATCTCTGGGTCCCTCTTCTCATTACCAAAGAATACATTTTCTCACATGTATTTATAAGCAACATGACATATTTTATAGTCTTAGAGTCTGATGCCAACATGAACACAGCTTTAGTGTTTGGCCCAGCAGGTATTTGCCAGCTCCATTGTCAGTTTGATGGAGCGACCAGCTAAAAATATAATTTTAGTACTGTAACCCTTTTGCCTGCAAACCCCTCCACCTTTCAGCTGTGTACTTACTTTGTCTCTAAACAACAATACACAGTTTTTACAACACACAACCTAGACTGGCTTGGAGGTAAAAACAAACGTACAGAAAGCAAGAGTACATTGCATTGCCTCTCTGAGAGAAACATCAGTTGTCATGGAAATGACAAAAGCGAGCGAGTGAAAAAAAAATCTGTGTTTTTGTTTGTTTTTTATATTAATAACATTTTGCAACGATTAATAATTACATGTCAAAGTTTAGGTCATTAGTGTATTTACTGCAGGTTTCACAGTTTAATCACGAAATAAAAAAATGCCCATTATGTCCCCTTTACTTATCAATGCACTGCCCGTGCTTTAAATCTGTATTTTTTAAAATGCTCACTATTTAAAGGGACACTATAGACAACAGCTTAATGTAGTTGTTCTGGTGAGTATAATAGCTCCCTTCAGGCATTTTCATGTAAACAGTGTTTACATTGCCCCTAGGGACACCTCCAAGTGGCCATTACTTAGATGGCATTGGATTGGCTAAAATCAACCATTTTGATGATGTCACAAAGGGGGCGGACCCAGCGCCGGAAATAAGGTGAGTTTTTAACTTTATAGGGAGTATAAGGGGGGGGCAAGCCACCTAAATGGTGGTTTTAACACTATAGGGTCAGGAATACATGTTTGTGTTCCTGACCCTATAGTGTTCCTTTAATAGCTGGGAATATTATTGACTGCA